ATATCTTACAGCAGGTTACAAAATAGTTTGTGATTTAGTTAACATAGACGTATTTTATAATTACTCACACTCTCTACCGTGGGATTTTTAGTGGATGATTCTATGTTAAGTACACACAGGCAATTCTAGCTTCTGCACAGACCAATCAATCCAACCTCCCCAAATCATATTTTGGTCTTGTTACTTATTGGCTGATTAACCCTAACTGTTTTTTATATGATTGCATTCGTGTTTATTACTTACCCTATCCATCATGTGTCTGCAACTAATTTTCTTGACTATAAATATCGATTCACACTCGGTTAAATCACGTTGTCTCACTTCCCATATCCGCTTCGCAACACTTTGTCTAGTTTTGCTTTGATCTCTTCACTTTGCTTCTCTTGATGTCTGCCCGATCAATAAGTGTGTGAAATATGCGTATTCGAACCTCATTGTCGTACTCAACTTATCCAATTCCGTTACCTCTCAATGCGCATTATGTTGTTAATTATATATGAGGATAGCCGACATGTATGTTTCGATGACAATCAACATGATACCCAACTGGAGTCAGATGCCGGAGCCACCAAAATTTTAATACTGGCTTACCGTATACTGAACGACGGGTTTGGTACTAATGTGTCCTGTCTTTTAAACTATTCTAAAACTGATCACCTGGGAGGACATTACAAGAACGTTCAAAAACCGAGATTTAATCGTTTACATCTGGAATTCCATTCCTCGCACTCAGTATGGAATTCTCTGCCAGAAAACGTAATATCAGCATTTTCTGTTGAAAAATCCAAGGCAAGATTAAAACAGTACTACAAGGCGCATGGATTAACACGATTGATTTAACTTCTCTCCCTATTACTGAAGACTGAGAGTTGTAAAGCACAAATATCTGAAAGTCAAAAAGGGCAGTGACTTTCATACTTGTTGTGATTATCGTTGCTTTTGTGTATTTGCTGTATCAAAAGCATTCTTGGTCTACTTTAACTTGAATTAATTCAGTTAAGGTTTGAAATTTTATTGAAAACTTTGTCTCATGGTTCCTTCTTTTGCATATACTCTGACGCTTGTGCTATTATTGTGATCATTTGTTTTTTAAACCTAATCTGATTACAATGGTTGGTAGTTCATTCAAATGTGGACAGCCGAACTGTTTATTCCCCGTAGATGAAGAATTGCAGCGCGATGAATGCAAAAAATGGTTCCACAAGATGTGTACCCGTCTCAGTCCAGCTGCATACAAAAGATGTTCTAAGCCTAACTCGCACTGGCTTTGTATGTTCTGCTGTACTAACAAGAGGCTATCAGCCTATTGGCTCTAGCCTGTAAAAAGAAAGATAGTGGGTGCGCTAGTAACGCAAGCACTGACAGTGAAGACTGTGTCAGTATTGTAAGTGCTGTTACAAAACGCGCTGAACAACCTACTCTAATTAATGACAAAGTGAAAATTCCGTTACAACAAACGAGGAGTAAATCACCACATGGTATTGACATGAGTAATCATGTATCTTTAGTAGAAACTGAGGACCCGGATAAAACCGTCACCGTCCCCAATAGTCCCAATGCAGCTGTCCTGAATGACCAAAAATGGACCGCAGTAAAGAGGAAAAGAAAAGGAAAAAAAGCTAATGATAAAGCACATTTGGTTGATAAGCCATTGAGGAACTCACAGTCTGAGTCACTCAATGCATTATCGCACTCTGATAGAACGGCAGATCATCATCCTAGTGCGACTGAGAGGAATTTAATATCATCGAATATTATTGTGAGTAAATTGCAGAGTCTACCGATCTTGATCCTAAGGTTAGACACACCCATGACTTAGAGAGGCTCGGAGAATATATCCGTAGCATATTACCAGATAACACTAAAGGTGTTCAGGTCAAAAAATTAGTTAGAATAGGTAAAAGGGCCGATGACAGTGTTCTACCCCGACCGTGTAGATTCCTTAAGGTAATCTTAGGGTCGGAGAAACAACGTAATCTTCTGTTAAGTAACGCTCGAAGTCACGACAACTCTGACATTCGAATGCGACCGGATGTGTCTCTTGAAGATAGAATAAAAAGGAAGACGGCACTAGGTGAACTAGAAACCCGTCGACAAAACGATGAAGAAAATCTCCGATTGTTGGGTTTTCGAATAGTCAGGTCTTGGAAGCGAATGCTACCAAGGCCTGTGTGGATAGGTCGTTCCCCCTAGGAGTTTTATATGCCAACGCCCGTAGTCTAAAACATAAATTCTACGAGCTAGGAACATTAGTGGACAAATTAAGGCCACTCATTGTAGCTGTGATGGAAACTTGGTTAGTCCATGACTTCGATATCACTCCAGAATTATTCGGATATCATTGTTTAAGGAGTGATAGACATAGATGCAAGAAAGGAGGTGGTGTCCTTCTATACATAGCCAATAGTATAAATATCCGCTCCTACGTTTGCGAATCACATGATAGTGGAACCAGTGAAGTCATTAGCTGTGAACTCACTGTCGGATGTTGTACATTTGCACTCGATGTCATCTATCGCAGCCCAATCTGCTTAGCTGATGACTTTATTTTAGAGCACATTCGGCTATGGAGTGCAAATAACAGATACTTGATATTCGGAGACTTTAATGCACCTGACATTAGTTGGACTGAGATGACCACGAAATGCTCTATAAACTCATTTGATAGCAGGCTCTTGGAAACAGTAATGGAACATGCATTAGTACAACATGTGTCCAAACTTACACGTTTCGGTGTAAACCAAAGTTCTTCTCTGTTGGACTTGGTAATTACCCATGATATTTCCAACCTAAATATTCTTCCCCCGTTAGTAAATATCGATCACGCTGTTTTATCATTCACGTTTAGAGCTAGCGATATGATATACGATCAGATTAATCCTCGCCCAAACATATGGAGAGCTGGCATACCAGAAGTTCAGGATTGTGCTACTAAGATAGATTGGTCAGTAGATACTAGCTCATCAGTTGATGAGGCGTGGTCTATATTTAAAGGCAAGTTTAGTGCAGTCACGTCCCCGTTCATACCATACTTGGTGCCACGTAGACCGAACAATAGTCCACCGTGGATAAATAAAGAAGTTAAGAAACTCCTTAGGCGTAGAAAAACACTGGAACATGTTCATCTCTACTGGCTTAGAACAGTACAGCTCTAGTTATCGTAAGATTAGAAATAATTGTAAAGCGTTAATTAGTAGAACTAGACGGTCATACGAAAAACAATTGGTTAGGGATTGCAAACATAGTCCAAAACGGTTATTCTCATATATAAAGAGGCGAACTCAGAGAAGTGATGGAATACCATCACTTTTGATAGAAGAAAATCCGTTAAGTTTGGCAAGAAATGATACCGAAAAAGCGGAAGCTTTTTCGGAATATTTCAGTAAAGTTTTTTCTACCAATAATGAGGAACGATCACCTATTCATTGTGATTGTGGCGACTTGTTGATGGACCCTGTAGTTATTAAGAAAGAAACTGTTTTAAGCCTACTTCAGCATCTCAAACCTGATAAGTCTAGTGGTCCTGATGATATTCATCCTCGGAATATGAAAGCCCTCTCAGATGTTATTGCTGAACCCTTAGCGATGCTGTTCGATATGTCCCTACGGCAGTCCAGATTGCCCAGAGACTGGAAGCACGCAATAATCAGTTCGGTGTATAAGACTGGGGGTAGGGATTTAGTTAGTAACTATCGACCCGTCAGCTTAACTAGTGCAGTCGTAAAACTAATGGAAAAAATTATTAGGATGGCTGTTATAAACTACGTGGAAAGACATGATCTTTTGTCAAAGGAACAACATGGTTTTCGAAAAGGTCTATCATGTTTGACAAATCTTCTCATTGCAAGAGAAGATTGGGCTGAGGCAAAAGATCGCAATATTCCTGTAGATGTCATTTTCATAGATCTAAGTAAAGCCTTTGGTAAGGTTTCCCATTCTGGTCTTAAATTGAAACTAGAAAGTTTTGGAATTCATTATGCAGTCATAGACTGGATAATTGACCTTCTTCATGAAAGGAGACAACGGGTAAGAGTAAATGGGGCTCTCTCATCGTGGGAACCAGTAAAAAGTGGCGTCCCCCAAGGCACGATTTTAGGTCCTCTTCTCTTTTTACTTTATATAAATGAATTACCAGCTATAGCTAAGTCATCCGTCCTACTATTCGCCGATGACATTAAGATTTGAAGACCCATATATAGTATGTCAGACAGAATAGTTTTACAGGAAGATCTTAACTCACTAGTTGCATGGATGAATGGGTGGTCACTAGAAGTAAACCCTAATAAAAGTGTTGTGATGCAATTAAATAAATACGATGATTCGTATCACTACACAATATGTGGACTAGTGTTGCACAAAGTAAGAAACTATAAAGATTTAGGAGTCATACTAAGTAATGATCTCAAAACAACCAGTCACTGTAAAGCTGCTGCTGAAAAGGCTATAGGGCATTATGGTCTATTCGTAGATTTTTCCGGTATCTGGATGGGGAAATGTTTGGATTATTATACCCAACTTTCGTACGGCCACATTTGGAATATGGGATTCAAGCAGCGAGTCCTTGTTTCAAATATGAGGCGGATATGTTGGAACGAGTCCAACGCCGCGGGACAAAAATGGTAAAAGGCTTATCTGGCCTATCTTATGAAGACAGACTGAGACACCTCAACTTATTTCCGTTATCTTACCGGCGAATACGGGTGATCTAACATTGGCATATCGTATCCTGAACGATGACCTTGGTACTAACATGTCCTATCTTTTCCTCTCATCTAGGGCTGATCATTTGAGAGGACATTCAAAGAAAGTTCAAAAACCGAGATCAAATCGTCTACGTCTGGAGTTTCGTTTCTCGCACCGAGTAGTGAATTACTGGAATTCTCTACCAGAACACGTAATATCAGCACCTTCTGTTGATATATTCAAGACGAGATTGGACCTCCACAGTGTAACAAACTGCAAGGATTAAAATAGGTCACTAGACCTCCTATCCTTATTACTGAAGACTGAAAGATCACTGACCACTGTGCACACGTACAATTTTGACGTTACTTAGCGTCTTCGTGACAACTTTAAAACCTCACACATTGTTTCGATTATCGGACTGTCTTAATATCACGCTCGCGTTATTTATGATTGTTGTCGATTGGTTTCCTTATCAAATGTAAGTGCATTCCTTGTACATAATGACTCATCAGCTCACCATTTTTTCTGTTCTTTTCTCGGCGAGACTATAATACATAAACGAACCAATCAGACATAAAATAACAGGACTTGGATTTTGGCGCGAAACCCATTCATTCATTTGACTGAATGGCGTTTCGACATTTTGGCTGATGTTCTAAACATTCCTACAACACACAAGAAAACTTCAGGTTAGACGTAAGCCTACGAAAGGCTGAACGGTACGCTTCTAGCAGGTGCACTGTTTTCGTTTTATTTTCAGAAATGGAATCATATTTGGTCTTTTATATCTACGCGATTTATTAGAAGTGATAGGCTTATATGGTTTGCTGGACGAAATTAAATTGTTGGGTTTCTAGGGCTAAGTAACAGTGCGTTAATGTAGAACATTATTGAATACGCAGTTGTATCGGATTAAAAAAAACCTACTGCACAGAGTTCTGCTCTGAATTACTATATAAACATGAAACATGACTGATGAAGTCGGACGAAATGCTTAGGTTCCATGTGCCCCCGTACTTTTGGTAATTTAAGGGCGCCACTTGTATATGATGAGGATGTTATGACCGATGCTAACCACGTGACCTTACTTTGTCCATTGTTCACATCTATCTAGAGCATTCAAATCTAGTTCCGTGCGACGCGTCAATCACTAATTGTTTATTGGAAATAATTATGCTCTGTGGTGAAATTAAAGAACTTGTTTAATATGCAACCCTGAATCGGTGATTCGTAAACGTTCAAACTGAACTTCGAAGCGACACGCTCTATAAAACTGGTCAGGCATAAGTTTAGGCTATGTCGACCAAATGTACAGTATCTTTCAGATCCTACATTTCAAACGTAGTTTCTGTCACTTTACACTTCGTTTTTCTCTTTACCTTGACTCTAGTTTGTTTGTTGTGTGGTTACTTAAAATAGTGAGACATATAAACATGGTATTATAGTCAACAAGGGTTTTTTCATTTTTGTTGTTGTGTTTTGTTCTATAGACTAATGCATTACCATGTGGAGTAATGTTTCAGTTTATTTATATGTGAGTGTCGATTTTTCTTTTGTGGTAACTCCATCATTTACTCATGTTTTTTAGATTTCGATGATGTTAAATTGATCACTAGAACTGGAAGTTAATTCTATTTGTTTCTTTTACAGTCATAAATGAATCAGTCTCGTTCTGTTCTAAAACAGCTAAAATATTCTTCGTGTGTGCGTTATCTAGCGTAAGAAATGAAATATTCTGAAATTAGGTTTCAAATTTAGAATAGGCCTCTCTGATAATGGAAATTTGGAATTCACACAGAAAAGCGTCGGTGCTGATGTTGAAATGGTTAACTATAATACACCTGGAATGTATTTTACAGCTTACAATCCAAATGGATTTATTTTAAATACTGGTGTCAAGGTGATTGGACCATGTGCAGCTTTTCCGCGATTCGCTTTTAGTTGGAAGGTATGTTGTTTATTTAGCTCAGTTATAGATAATGTACACTTTTCATTCAAGATGAAAGATGCTTTGGATATTTCGGAGGAGTCTCTATCTTTGTTTTTCATTCTGGAGCCTCCACTTGGTATGCTGATGGTTGTGCTATGTTACTAAATGATTAACGATTATTTCTACAGAGGTTCTTATCATTGGTAAGGGAGAAACAAAAAGCCCAATTGACTACCAACGAATACTAAATATATGCTGGAAACATCGTCTACCTGTGGAGGTGATGTCAACAGTGAGTGTTCATTTTTTCTGCTTTTATAGTTTATCAGTTTTTGTAATATTCTCGAACTTCTTGAGTCTCCTTAGGTATTTTCTAAACATTACAGACAGATAATATTGCTTCTAATTAGTTCCACCCCAGCCCTTACCGTAATGCACATGGTTATTGATAACTATTTCAAGAAAAAAAACCCATGGGGTTTTTTAAGCCATTCAGTTAGTCAATTAGTATCAACTTAGAACCTGGTAGTATCTACATCAGTTCAAGTTGCCATACCCTATTAGCATAGAGATGAGATTGTCAGGCTGAATCCCAGAATCGAAGAGGTAGTAACAGTATGAGTGGTGATAGGAAAGATTTGGCATCAAAAACACAATTCGAAAAGAAAAGAAAAATTAGTGAAACAGAAAAAAATTACTAGGGATCCAGAAGCTCAAAATTCCAGAGAATACGAAGAATGAATGTACTTGCACTATCGCAAATCATTTTGAACCATGCCACTAAGTCTTTAATCATTGTTAACGATAATCACGCGGACTCAAACCAGGTAGTCTACACCTGTTAACACGGCTCAGTCCAGTTGTCACTGACTTCATGTACTGGGGCCATATTTTGGTTTACGTGCCGCTGTCGTTCTTCCAGCCTACTCCTGCACCAAGCCACCCATCGAGTTAGAAAGTGGCTGGGCATAAATAACACATGTCTCATCCACCTCAGTTGATGAAGATTCACTACTTGATCATTCGGTTTGCCATCCTTATCTAGTGCCTTATTCCTAACTTAGGGATTGCTTACTCAATAGTCCTAAAATATACGAGTAGTGCTTCGAAGACACCTCCGATTGAGTACTAGTAACGTACAAATGTCCTCCATTCTTAGAGGCCATGTTTCATATTCACAAAGTAAAATGGAGCATCCTTCTGGGCATTAAACTCGTCTTTTGGGTGGAAGACTCAAAGCAATGGTGACGCAATAGTTTTCACTGTTACGTAAGGTGATCAGGAGACTACATTTTGTCAGCGTCTTCACCAAACAGGACTATATCGTGTGCGTGTTCCAAGTCAAGAAGTGGAAAATCAAGCTCTGAAAAGTTTGACGATGAAAGTGTTATCTTTAAAAGTATATCCGTAACGAAGTTAACTGGAAATAAGGGAGGCGGACAACCCTAACTAAAATCAATTGAAGTAATAAATTGTGATGGTAGTACTTCATGAGCTCTGACTCGATCAGTGGTGTTCGAGTAGAGAGATTTTTCAGGGTAGACTTACTTCTTTGGTTTATCTTTAAATGATAGACTCTGCCACAAAGCCTCACAACCAACAGAATCGAACGCCCTCTTAAGGTCAAGAAGTAGAACTATATTGGGAAGTCGGAAAGTATGTCTATGTTTCTGAATCTGCCGAGGGGGTTAGTATTTGGTCTACATATACAGGTTCATGTCTGAAACCAACTCGGTTTTTTGGGGTTAGCTCTTTGTGAGTTCTAGTTGGACATGGAAGCATTATTGAGGCTAATACCTTGATACGGTCGAGAGTGGGGAGAGTCTGCTCTCCCTCTTGAAACGCTTTCACATGGCCACGGATATACAGCCACTTTGAGGAAAGTCTTATTTACGGCCTCGCGGAATGGCTGGTGCTTACGAAATTGAGATGAAAACCGAATGTCCGGCTCCCTGATCGGGTTAGTGGATATGAAGGATTCACGTAGGGCAGTTGGTGAACCATGATTCCAAACCAATGATGCACATGAACTCTAGGATCCTGAGTCAGTCAGTCAGTCACTTACAACGTAGAACTTCGTACGTACGTACATCAGTTCGAGTTGCCATACCACATTAGCACAGAGATGAAGTTGTTGGTTCAAATCCCATATTGCTAGAAGTAGTAAGAGTATAAGTATTATGTGAAAGATAAGGGTTTGAAGATGTTATTGAAGGAGTATAATACAGTGAAATAAATTTGGAAAGAGAAAAAGGAAAAGGACACAAATAATTCAGAAGATTAGAATTTGGCAGAACACAAAGAGTGGATACACCTTCGCCATTGCAAACGATTTTCATCCATGTCATTCAAGATCTCTAACCATCGGTTGCTATCATCTCGCGAATCCCAACTAGGTAGTCTACACCTACCAACATGGCTCAGTCCACTTGTCAGTGACTTCATGGATTTATGCCATGTTTTGGTCTGGCTGCCCCTAGCTTTCTTCCAACCTGCTCCTACACTATAAAGCATTGCATGTCGGGGCAGTCGGTGGTTGGGCATACGTAACATATGTCCCAGCCATCCCAACTGATGAAGTTTCACTACTTCATCAATCGATTTGCCATCCTTACCTAGTACCCGTTTCCTAACAACTGCATTACTTATCCGGTGGTCCCAGGATATACGAGCAATGCGTCGAAGACACCTATGATCGAACACTAGTAGCCTACGAATATCCTCTACTCTTATCGGCCATGTTTCACTGCTATAAAGTAGGACGGAACGGAACGGACCTGCTTCGGTTTGGGCACCCGGGCAGTATCACAGCCCACACACAAACAAATGAATGAAATTATGAACTCTATTGACGATATCCCTGGTCATACTAAAAGCAAGACAATTAACATTATTATTATTATTACCTTTATTATTATTATTATTATTATTATTATTATTATTATTATTATTATTATTATTATTATTATTACTTACCATATCGCTAATTCACCCCCTTTTATCCCCAATTTGTGTAACCTTACTCTTCAACTTATGCAGCAGCTCGCTCTTGGTGGAAAATCTGTCCTATCTAAACGATCTCCAGTCACTGTCTGGTTGAAAGTGAATGCTTCCACCGATTATGAATACTGAGGCAGTCTTTCTGAAACCACGTACGCCGTTCAAGCTGGCTTCCTTCAACGTTCGCACACTAATGCAGATCAGACAACAGATAGGGCTGGCTATGTCTTTGGAAGGTCTTAATGTTGACGTTTGTTGTCTATCCGAGACCCGTATTCAAGACTCTAGTGAAGTACTACAAATCCGCTCTCCATCTGTCGCCTCGAAAAGCTTGTTCCACGTGCGCTTATCCGGGGACCCTGTGGCATCTTCGTCTGGTCTTGCTGGCGTTGGTGTCGCACTAAGCGCTAGAGCTGAGGCAGCACTAATCGATTGGATCCCCATTAACAGTCGGTTATGTGCTGTTAGATTAGAAAGTTCCATCAAAGTGAGAAGAAATCGGCGTGAGAAACGGTGTCTTTTCGTCATCTCCGCCTATGCCCCGACAGATTGCAGCCCGGATGCAATCAAGGATGAGTTTTACCATCAGTTAACAGTTCTTCTCCAGAAAGCGCGTTCGACAGATATTGTAGTTCTAGCCGGAGACTTGAATGCACAGGTCGGGCGTCTAGGCACAGAAGAGAGTCGTCTAGGTGGCCGATGGGGACTTGTTGGTCGCCGGACAGATAACGGGGACCGTTTGCTGCAACTGTGCACAGACCACAACCTGTTTCTGGCTAGCACTAACTTCCGGCACAGTCATCGCCGGTGTGCCACCTGGCGTCCTCCCTCTGCATCCCAAGCCTGGACTCAGATTGATCACATCGCGATCAGCTACCGCTGGCGTGGTTGTGTACAACACTGCCGCTCCTTTTGGAGTACCTATCTGGAGTCTGATCATGCCCTGGTCTGCGCCAATCTCACCTTACTTTTCAGTGGCCGAAGGATTGACCACCACCAACGGATTGATATTAGTAAACTGGCTGCAACTTCTGTTGCAAGTAAGTATCGAGCTGAGCTAGCCTCTAGGCTAGCTACCACCCCACCGAAAAGTATAGACGAGCATTGGTTGCATCTTCACGACGCCATGAAAATGGCGAGTAAAGCCGCTTGCGGCTTCGCGAAACGTCCCGCTTACAAGCACTGGGTTTCTTCTGGCTCCTTACAACTGATGGAAGCCCGTCGGTCTACTCCGGGTGACCGTGAGTTTGACCACAAACGAAGTCTGTTACGTAATGAAATCGGGCAAAGCTTGTGTAAGGACCGGGAAGCCTGGTGGTCGGAGCGTGCTAATGAGATGGAAGCAGCAGCTGCATCTGGTAACTGCCGGAAGCTCTTCCAACTCATCCGAGCCACTGGCAGCAAGAAGTCTGGTGTGAGTGAAACAATCTACGGGGATGACGGGATGCCAATCACTAACATCTCCCGACGTCTTGGACGATGGGCGGAATTTTTCGAAGGGCAGTTCAACTGGCCTGCTGCTCCGGCAACATCAACCAGCTTGTCCTGCTCCCCATGGCCGGTGACGACTGATCCACCAAACGAGGCGGAAGTCCGCAAGGAACTCCAACTCTTGAAACGTTATAAATCACCAGACCCAGATGACTTACCTCCGGCTCTTTTTAAAGATGGTGGTGACTTTCTGGCTAAGGAACTGACTGCGTTGTTTGGAAAGGTCTGGGAGCAAGAAAGTGTTCCAACATCTTGGAATGAGTCAATAGTCGTCCCTATCTTTAAAAAGGGTTCACGTTGTTCCTGTAGCAACTATCGGGGGATAAGTCTACTTTCGATCGCGTCCAAACTATTGGCTTCTATCATTCTTCGTAGGTTGTTTAAAACCCGAGAACGATTGACTCGCGAGGAGCAGGCTGGTTTTCGTTCTGGTCGAGGATGCATTGATCACATCTTCACCCTCCGCCAAATGTTAGAACACCGTCATACTTATCGCAGGCCAACAATCGTAGTGTTTCTTGATATCAGGGCGGCCTTCGATTCGTTGGACAGGACTGTTCTCTGTGATTGTCTATTGAAGAAGGGTGTGCCTGAGAAGTTCATTAACATCTTAAAGGCCCTGTATACGAACACCTCAGGCAGAGTGAGGGCATACAACAACCTTTCTCCCTTGTTCCTTTTGAGCAGTGGGGTTAGGCAGGGTTGCCCGATCTCCCCATTCCTCTTCAACTTTGCCATCGACGACATCCTAGAAACAGCTCTGATGGATGTAAGTAATGGCGGTGTGGATATGTTGCCTGG